TTTTTTTGAGCTTAAGTTTTGTCCGATTGGCCCGGTGATCACGGGACCGCCAAATTTTTGTGCCATCACTATGCTATACTAAAATTTTATTTCCAAAATTTTACATGGCCCTGCAGGGTACCTAAGCAAAAATGTTCAGGTTCCAAAGCCTCACTTATATCTGACCTACATTATGTTATATGAAACTCCTTTATCCTAAAACCGCACCTAACCTTATATATACTATAAAGGGTGGTGATATTGCAAATGTTAAAATTATTAAAATAATTTTTTTTTTTAATGTTAAAGGAATTATTAAAATAATTATGCTAATATAATAACAAAATCTAAACTAAAATAGATGCCTTATTTCTATTGACGGCATCCCATTTACATTCGGATTTAGACATTAGATACGGGTTTAATTTTTAATTATGATATTTAGTATTGTCACATATATCTGAAAGTGGATTTTGTTGATTTGGCAAATCCGAATTTTACACATACAGTATATCCGGATCAAATAATTAAATCCGGATACGTATAAAGGGTTAAATCTGGATCCAAGTCTAGCTGAAACGTATTAATACTAATAATATGAATTATTTTCATTGTAAATTATAATCTTGATTCAAAACAATGATGCGTGTTTACTTGATTTAACGTACGTACAGTACGTATGGACGTACGTACATAGCCTAATAAGGATAAGATGAATGAAATTTTAATTCGCTCATTATTTTTATAAAATTTTTAATTTGTCTTGATTTAGACAAACTATTATCATTAACACATTTATCTAATTGGCTGAACACCTAAGTGGCTGAGAATGGCAGGTCATCCGAAATTAACGATTCTGTATAGTTGCATTTTTGAGTTTTTTTGTTAATAATTAATCAAAAACGAAAATTTTTGGTATTACATTATCCTCCCGCTATGCTCTAGACAATAAAAATAAAATAAAAAAAAGAGCGTTGTCACATTAAAGAGTACATTATAACGAGCACGATAACTATAATTATAATTGCGTGGGTTTGTTAGTTCAAGAGTTATTGCAGCTTTGAGCTTTCTATGTTTTCACTATTAAATTATCGTTGGTCTGCAGTTCACTATAAAAAATCTTAATTAGTTATCAGCATTATATAAACTGCACTATGTTTGCAATTAGACTGATGTGAAACACCCCAATCTTCTATGGCTGTCAATATTTTATGAATATAAAGTAGTTCATAGTTAGGATCAGAACAATATCATTACATATATGTGAAATCAATTAAACGGCTTAATTTTTTGATATTTTATAACCGCACCGTGAAAAAAAAAAAAATCCAACATTTTGTATTATGATACGCAGCCTAACTATTCGCGATTTGTACTCGGTTCTACATTTAGGAGGATCTACTATCGAAAGGGATTTCATTTCTTGTACGCACATTTACTGTATGTGATTCACAAATATGATTTCAATTATTTGTGTGAGTGAAATAATAACTTTAAATTTATTTATGCGATGATACAACTGGGGAACTTTAAATTTTGTTTATCCTATAAGTATTGAAAATGATTGTTTAAATGACTAACTTTTTCGGTAACTATGACTCTAAAGTACTAACTCAATTTTATTTTTATTTTTATTTTGATTTTGATTTTGTAGTACTAATCTTCGCAAAACAAATTTTTAACCGTGATACAAGGTATTGTAAAACATAATGAACTGTGCATATAAACGAAACAGGAATCAGATTCTGACAAGTGTTCGTAAGAGTTAAAAAACTTTTTTTTATTGAAGAGAAGACATTGTTTTTAACTCTGTAAACTGACGACACAAGTTTTAATATTTTTTAAAAAAAAATTATTTTTCATAAGAATGTTGCTTCAATCAATCTTAAGCTCTTGTTTGGCAAATTGGACTTCCATTATACTAGTATTATTGATAATTTACTTATCAAACTTCTACTACAACTATTTTACTCGTCCTAACCCGTTACCAGGTCCCATACCGATTCCAATACTCGGGACGATTCATATAATCGGTATGAATCCTCTCACATGGTATAACAAAAATAAGGAAAAGGCTGGTACAATCTGGGAATTTTATATTAGTTCTCGACGAAACATAGTTATCAATCATGTACAACATATTGAAAGACTTTGCAAACAAACTAAAAGCTTTTTTAAACGAAATCCCATTCCTATATTTGAAAGAATAGGACTTAATCATGGAATATTTTTTAATAATGACTATGATTCATGGCATCGAAGAAGAAAATTAGTAAACCGTGCATTGATGTCAAAGAAGTTCTTACAAGGTCTTGTCTTTTGTATTCAAACCCAATTCAAAGCATCTGAAAAAAGATGGAAATCAAAAATAAAAGATGGAATTGAATTTGAATTTAGTGAATGGATGATACACTTTGCAGCTGATATTATTACTGTTCAAATCACAAAACAACGTTCTTATTGTGTAGCTTTATTTGATACAAATAATAAGTTAGTTCAATCTGAAGAAATTAAAAAATCTTTAGAGTTTACTAAAGCTATAAAAAATTTTTTTGGTTCACTTGGATTTTTCGTTTACATGCCTCAATTTATAATGAATTATGTACCAGGTTTTAGCCATTATAGAGAGCGCTGCGAACGTAGTATTAATAATCTGAATGATATTGTGAATAAAATCATTACTAAAAGAAAAAAAGAACTTGAAGAAGGTGCTGAATTAGACTCAGATTTGTTAGATCATTTATTGGTCGCTCATGCCATACAAGATCCTGATTCTAAGCATGATGATAACGTGGAGCCGATAACTGCTAAAGAAGTTGCTGCTCTTACATGGGAAATTCTCTTAGCTGGCGTTGATTCGGTAAATGTTAACAATCCTTTTTTATTTAAAGTATATATATATACGCATATCATAGATCTATAGATATATAAACAATATACACATTAACATATCTATATCATTCTTTATATCTATATTTAACAGACCGGTAATGCAACCAGTTTTTTATTATATTACATTGCGAAAAATCTAAATGTTCTTGCCAAGATTCACAAAGAGATTGATGAAGTTTTTGGCCCTGATTCAAACGTTGAATTCTCCCTTGAAAAACTCGATAAATGTCATTATATTGAAGCTACTATTAAAGAAACTTTGCGCTTTCATGAATTAGCTCCATTCACTATAAAAATTTCTGATGGTATTGAAAATGTTGCTGGATACGATTGGCCAAGTGGAACTTGGTTTTGGATAGATAGTCAAACTCTTGGTAATAATCCTGATTATTGGGATGATATAGAAACTTTTAATCCTGATAGATTTTTAAATAAAGATTATGGTGGCTCATCTGAACTTACGGATTTTCAAAAGACTTCTTTTGTTCCGTTCGGTTATGGTCTCAGATATTGTCCCGGAAAATTAATGGCTATGAATATGATGAAGACTTTAGTTATTCTATTTCATAGAAAGTATAAAATAGAATTAAAGAATGATAAGATAAAGTACTACCTTAGTGGGATAAGTCAGGTTTCTAGTCTGAAAATTAGGATAAGCTTAAGAGATGATTCTTTATAAATTGCATCAAATTACGATAATTCTAGTAGAAACTAACTTAAACCTAACTACAGAATGTTGCAAAAAAAACCAGAAAATTTTTATATAATTTAGATTTGCATGATCTAAATTTTTTGTTTTAAATTTTTAATTACTAATTCTTATATAAAA